TAATCAACTCAACTTCTGAACCAGGTCAACTGACTAAACGAATTGCAGACACTGTTCTAATTCGTCGGTGCATGAAGAACATGATGATGCTCGATCAGTCAGTGTTGCTAACAACTCTATCAGTAACAGCTTTTGCAGCAGGATGTCTAGTATGTACTACAGACTTTTTGGGAGGCAAGTTTTACCTGCCGTGAAGGAGTGAGTTAGGTTTTACATCACTGGCTATAACATGGAGGATAACACCCGAAATGGACTTCTCAAACTACCCAACCCATCACTGATGAACTGAATTAACCTACCAACTCACCACTTCATTTTCACCAACCTACTCACCAGCCCAAATCCCCTGCCTAATCACCAACTGACCCACTCATCCACTCACCCTTCCTCGTTAACCCTTACATCATCTCACCTTCACGTTCACTAACTCCCTTAATATCAAATCACAACATGTTGGTTGTTGGTTGGTTGGTTTGTTGTTTAACGCCGCACTCAGCAATATTCCAGCTATATGACGGCGGTCTGTAAATCATCGAGTCTGGACCAGACAATCCAGTGATTGACATCATGAGCACCGATCAACGCAATTGGGATCGATGACATGCATCAACCAAGTCAGCGAGCCTGACCACCCGATCCCGTTAGTTGCCTTTTACGACAAGCATAGTCGCCTTTTATGGCAAGCATGGGTTGCTGAAGATCTGAATGGAATGGAATATTGCCCAAACTGGCATCAAACCATACTCCCTCACTCACGCCATTAATCTTACCTACGCTAAAGCACACTTTCCCCACTGACAATCCATCAATGACATATTTAGTTAAGCTGACCTCACCAACTTGGTGGTGGTGAAGTTGTTGGCCTCGTCCTGTAGATAAAGAGGGTGGAGCCATCCTACCAGGCAGTGGTACAGGCCAAGGTTGAGATCCGTTTTTGATTTCAGTGCTTGAGCCATCTCACCTTATGATAACACAAGGCCTCATTATTAATAGTTGGCTTACAGATTATCCATATTCATACTTGCCGAAATATACATTTAATTTTCAAATACTTTTCAGATAGATTCTTTTCTGTTGAAACTGAAATGACCAAAACATGCTCCTTGGAGTACACCGTTTCCTTATTATATTGATTTACTTTGATTTGTTAGAATTCTACAGGCAAGAACATTTTAATTTTATTCTACATTTGAGATCTAGAAACTAGAATTTATTAATTAAGTGTAATCTGAAATAATGTGCATAGTTACCAACAAGATCTCTCTTGGGGCCGACCATCATTGAGTTCCAGTTAAAACTGACATTCGTCGCCCAGTTACAAAACCCATCACAATATTTTGATACATACACAATGTATCTGAAAAACAACATAAACTGATGTGACATATTGGATTCATATTTGAATTGCGAATAGAGTTCAAGGTGAAACTATGAAACAAAATGTCACTTCAAGCAATACTACTTGTTTTAATTTTGAATCATTAGACATCCTGAAATGGTAAGTTCCAGGTATGCGAAATGTTCAATATACGGCCTTTGTTTGAATGGCTTAATGATGTGCTTGTACTGGAAGTGTTTGATCACATATAGTCTAAAATTATTTGTCATGCAAATATGTCCCTTTGAGTGTGTCAAATTATTCATCCTGATCCCATGACCCTATGTTTTGTTAGCATTATATCCGTGCCAGTCTGTTTCATGCACTCACTCACTCACTCACTCACTCACTCAGCTCCAACACTGACTGCAGCATTCATTCACTCACTCACTCACTCACTCAGCTCGAACACTGACTGCAGCATTCATTCACTCACTCAATTAATAACGTCATACTTAGCCCCAGAAGCAGCAAACAATTCAGCCCAAGATTCAGCATCATAAAACTCTGCCGCGGAGTCACTTGCAAAGTCAGCATAGGTGAAGTCAGGTCTATAGTTGTCCTGCATGTACTGCACACACATTGGATTCCTGTCTCCTTGCCAGCGTTCCCAAAACCACTCGTTTCCAAAGCTTGGTACTGAAATCATTCCCATGGACACAAAGATTCCCACTTTAGCTTCATCATACCATGTCGGTAATGGCCTGGAATCTAGGGAATCCCATGTGGGGTCGTAGCGAGTTTCAGTCTTATTGGGTCTTGCTGAACATCCTTCTGCTTGTATTAAAGCTAGGAATGCTATAACAATTACCTTAGCGTCCATTGTCGCAGGGACGGGTATGTTGTGATCCTGCATCAATGTTTGATGATAACTTCAGGCGATTCTCTTTATAGACAAATGAAGGTTGAGGACAGCTGATTACATTAGGTGTCTATATGTTCAAGGTTAAAGATAGGCTAGATGATAACGGTTGTACTTATAATGTTTCTATTGTGTTTGTCTTACAACAACACCATCAGATGAGTAGACGTGTATTGACAGCGATTTGTTCAAGAGGTTACAATCTTACTTTCAATATGGCCGTTATTTTTGGGCATTATTCAGTTGAAATCTAGTCCAGTGTGGTTTGCATAGTTGTTCTTCAAGAAGTCTTAAAATCAGCTTCCTATTTCCTCACCCAGCGCTCCGGGAACTATTCCGAACCCAAACTTGGCACTTGGTACACTCCTCAGCAGATGGAGATTCCAAATGTAGTTAAATCGTTCCACGACAGAATGTGTTCGACAATTTAGGGAAGCCCATTTGGGTTCAAAGTGAATCATTTCTTCGAAAACCTTACCTCAAGTACATCATAGTCAGAATACTGGAGGGTTTGGTGGGTCCTAGCTTTTAGTTATCAATGATAACTGACAGTTAAGGACATGTTAGGGAAATCCACGATGTCTTGACAACTGCACTCTAAATACCGTCATATTCGCATTCCTATGACGTCGCTCCCACTCCATGACATCACTTCTGGGTCTTGTGACGTCAAATCTGGTTGTCTTGACGCCACTACCATTGCTTGGAATAACCTCATTCGGTTTTGAAGACCTCACTTCCGGTAACCTGACGTCACTTCCTTCAATGACATCACATCACATCATCCAGTGAATAATTCTGAGAATACTACCTATATTACAACAGGAGGTAGCCCCTCCCACCTCCACAATATATCTAGTGGAAGTAGTTATTGAAAAGAAGTAACGTTTTTCCCTACTCGCGCATGCGCTGAGACATTGACACGATATGCGGTATTAATAACAACTGATTAGAATGGGTGACAGTAAAGATAACGTCTGTTGAAAATCTAAAGATGTTAATCAAAGTACAAGAATATTGGCTTTGTTGTTATAGAGGTAGTGTCCATACACTATGTTAACTGTTGTTTGATTTCTGGATTTGTGTAAAGCAACCACACGGATAGTCACAAAGAAAATAGCACCAGCTCGAAAATACAGTGAAACAAATTTATTGCTGTTAAGATAGGACTTTGATTGTTATCATTTCTAGATATGTTGGTGCACTCTTGCACAGGGTCATGGTGGTGATTAATTTGTCTGTACGTGATGTGTTAAAACCTACAGGCTTAACTGCAAACACATGCTCTATTTAAAGTAGCATGCCCAAAAAAACACTGCCGACAACTGGAACATACATTCCAAAAGTGGATTGTCAATTTGGTGTAAGTATTAATTGCCGCATCTTAAAACTCTATAAATAATCTACTCTGCTACAGGTTTCGAAGAAGACTGCCTTTCTGCTTGTCATGGCAACTGCTGCTGGAGTGTCAGAGCTACATACAATCACCTTCTAATCCCTCACACAAGTATCAGAATGGAGCAGAATCACTCTGCAAGCAGTACCAAGGTTGACTGCCAAGAATGAGTCTATGGAGAGGTCCGCTGGGATACTGGCAATCCTCCATCCCTGTCCTAGGTGGGACTGCGAACCACACTGACACGCTATTGTGTCCAGTGCGAGCAAGGGAATATTCTCTCACCCCTACGCGGTTACATAGTCGACACTAGAAACGACTCTACAGTTGCAGGCTGCTTAAACACCATCATCTCCGAAAGATGCGATTATGCAGAACTACATTGTGTCTGCTGTAGATATTTCCTACACAGAGGGCGTATACATGTACTCATTTGGGACTTAAGTGACAGCAACCTAATAATGTAGGTTGACCTCTTGATCCATGGTGCGTCAGACCATAGGTTAACTGTTTTTTGCACTAGACTATCTGGAAGGTCAACATCGAGGTCATAAGCACAGGATGTGACGTAAATGCAACCGGGAGTGACATGATCGAAACGGGAAGGGATCATCCATGTAAACGGAAGTGACAGCATAGGAATGCCAACATAACGGTATGCCAACATACCGGTATTTACTATGCAAATATCAAGGTATTGTGCATTTTCTTAACTTTTCAATGTGTTCATGAATCATTAACCGTCAGCTATCCTGAATACTAAAATGCTGGATCCAACCATACCGTCTGGAGAATTCTGGCTATGATGTGATAGAGGTAAGAAAGCAATTATCAAACAAAAGTTATCATTGTGTATAATTCTAAGAATACCACCTATATTACAGCAGGAAGAAGTCCCTCGCTGCAAGGTCTGCAAAGTATCTGAATGTGATGTATAACACACCTCGCTAATATGGTGACGTGTTTACTGAGGTGATGAGTCATCCCACACCTTACTGATCATGCCTGTTTGATCATACCTACAAGGTGTCCGAGAATGCCATGTGTAGGTAGGCATAGAGTGAGCCCACACGTTACTGATGGGGTTAACCTATTTGGTCATGTCTACAAGATAACAGATTTGGATGAGAAGAGTTCTTTTTGAAATCCCATCACATCATTATGTTATTTCCGCCACACATGTATGTAAACACTGCTTAGTATTATTTTTAGCTTCATCATCTAATATGTGTCATGCATGTTTAGCATTTTCTGTTACACCGTGTACATTCAAGGGCGATAACCATGCACTTGCACCAGTACATGTTTTGTCAGGAATCTGAAGATTTAACATATATATCTTGAACAAACAAACAAAGCAAGTATGGTGATCATAATGTTTATATATATATGTAGTCAAGGAAACATTCATTTCATCATCAGAACAAATCTTTTATTTGTAAATGTAAGTTAAATACCGAATATATATGTTTATTTGGACTCATCCCATTGTCACCCATTTTATTGTGAAGGTCAGTCCCATTAATTGTGGCCCTTTCATGTGATTGTGAAGGTCCATTGTCAGCCAATTATGACTTTGTGGAGTCTAATTCTATTGTCAACGAATTATATCAGTATGAAGATACATCAAATTGCCAACTATTCATGTCATTGTAAAGTTCCTTCCCATTGTCAACTATTCGTGTCATCATGAAGGTCTTATTATCAACCAGTTATGTCAGTGCGAAGACCCATCCCCACTGACATGGCATCTGGTTGACAGGGATGGGAGGGATTGTGATACTGATTCCTTTGGGTGACGCATACTGCCAGGAGAAGCTTCCAGTGTACCCAAGGAGGCTGACTTGTGTTCCATTAGTTGGCAAAGCTGACCCAAGGTGGAGTTGACCTGGCTGTGGCCAGTCCAGCACAATGGCATACACGATCCCAGCTCTCTGGGTGTACCTGAAGAAAGAACACGCAGTGAAGTATGAAGGAGTACTGAATCTGTGGAATTTATCAAGACAACAGTGGTGACTTTGAAAATTTACAAAGCAAGAAATGTAATCCTGAAATCCCAGCCAAGCATAATTTCTATAACAATAAAGCTGATTAAGGATTTAGGTCAGGCAGTGTTAAAGTATGACAATATTTGCAAATAATAACTATCTGATCTTGTATTACTTTTGGTGAATTTTGAAATATGAAATATGTCAAGTACCTGCCAAACACCTGGCGTGGCTGAACGTCATTTCGTACCGACCAAAGTATGAAGTCATTCTGTGCCAGCCAAGTTGTGGAATACATCAAGTACCTACCACACTCCTGGTGTGACTGTGTCATTCTGTGCCAGCCAAGGTCTGGAATACATAAAGTACCTACCACACGCCTTGTGTGACTGTCATTCTGTGCCAGACAAGATGTGGAATACATCAAGTACCTACCACACTCCTGGTGTGACTGTGTCATTCTGGGCCAGCCAAGGTCTGGAGGCGTAGATGGCGTCCCCATTCACCTTCAGCCATTGCCCCAAATGACGGAGTCTCTCCTCAAAGATTGGACTAATCATGCCATATTTGGTTGGCCCCACATTGATCAGCATGTTCCCTCCACAGCTGTAAATAAAAATAACAAAATCAGACAGTATTTGATATGTTCTGTAATTATGATAAGCAAAAACGTGGTGGCACTGAGACCTAAGATTGTGGGTTCAAGTACCAGTCCATATTATGTTTCAAGGCTGCTTAGTTCCAATTCATGCTTGTAGAAACGTCTTAGACCCACATCACCTTGGACTTTCGTCACGCAACTCACTCACTCACTGATGTATGTTTACGTTACCATTGGCGAAATGCTACTAAGTTGGTAATTCTCAACTAAACTGAAGATATATTTACACTTGTTGATGTGGATATGTTGATGTGAGATGCTGATGATCAGGGCTTTATACAGCACCTGACAGGTGTTTGCTTCATCTCTACATCGTCTGTGCAATATTGTCCCGTTAAGGTTGTGTCGACAAAATCATTCTTTGTCTTTATTTTTCCAGATCATTAAGATTCTAGTTTTGAGTGGAAATATTGTGCACCTTACAGTTTCTTCAGTTATATCTAATAGCTTCAGGATACTCATCTTACGTTCTCAATAGACAAACCTTACATTCTCAGCGCGAGTACGGGTGGCCCAGTTGCCTAAGACGTCGTAATTCGCTGTGCAGAGTTGCGTCCCTTGGGCACGCCAGAAACCTGGGTTTCTGGTCGTTGGTTCGAATCCCGGTTCGCTCCGATCATGTTTCTAGGTTTGTCAGCACTATACACATGCTCGAGGGTTTCACCAAAGTGATACACGTCTGAAACCTACATCACTTCGTGCTTTCCTCCCACGTGAAGCCGACATGCCATGTTATAACTGGAATATTGTTAAAAGTGACGTTCAATTCATTCACTCACTCACTAACTCACATTCTCAGCAGTCACTCTTTACATTGTCAATGGGCACGCCTTCGATTCTCAACAGACACCTTACATTCTCAGCAGGCACACCTTACAGTCACAGCACACACACCTCACGGTCTTTTTAAAGGATGGAAGACCAAACATGAAATAACTGCCTTAAAAGTACTAGTATATTGGGAAGCTATCTGTAGCACCCACCTCTAAATTTATTAAGTAAATACTGTTTCCTGTGTTTTTTGTTTCGGAAAGCAATGAGCAAGTCATGTTTGGGCTAGTCTGCAATTTCTACTGAAAGTCATATTCACAATGCATTTGGTGGCAAGTATCTATCACACTTTTTCCAGTGTCACACTGTTCCATCAACTTTACTCCAGTGGGGACCTGGGTTAAGGGTCATGGACAGTGGTGACTTGATTTAAGGGTTACCACACTATTTTTCTGTTGTAGGTAACGACCAAATTAATAGTGCGGAAAATTTCTCCTAATATCAACCATTTGTTCCGTGTGGCCCAAGACACATACACGTTTATCACCTGACAGTTTTAGTGTTCATACCTGACAGTTTCAGCTAGCACTGTTATAATATCGTCCATGGTCAGAAAATCATCAAGAGCAGCCTCTCGACGGAATCCCCAGGATCTCTTGTCAATTGTCATCGCATTCTCCCACTTTCTGGGCTGAAGAACTCCTTTAGCATGTAAGAACAATCAGCTGTAGTTTCGGTGAACAGAAAATCATTTGAATCTATGACAATTTGATACATTATTTTTACTTCAGAGTTTAATGAATCTATTCATCAACCACAATTCTATAATCACAATCTACATACAATAATACATTTGAAACTGCATTGTATGAAAAACGTTATGGCAAAGAATTATTAATCTAGTTTTTCCGACGAAACAGATTTCATTGGGCGTAAAAGGCAAAATGGAAGTGATACTGATAGGAAAGGATCACTGAAAATCAGTGATAACAACACGTTTTCGTGAAAAAAGATACATATGTGGTGCCCTACCAGTAGCACCCAACCTTGTCTGTATCAGCTCTTCATGTAAGAGGGTAGCCCAGTAGTAAATGCGATCTCTCATCACACGGAAGGCCTGTGTTCGAGACCCCACATGGGCACAGTGAGCTTAGTAGGTTATCAGTGATGGGTTGGGTACAGTGAATAAGGCCCATTTCTAGTATCCCCCGCCATGTTATTACTGGAACATCCCTTAATTCAGGTTTAAAGTCACTCACTCAAAAAATATGGTAATTAAGTACCTGGATTGTACCTGTCATGGCATGTCAGGAACCCTCCATGAAGACACAAGTCTCCTTTTCCCCATCTGTCATTGGTGACAACCGTATCCTTCACTGGACTGCAAAGAGAAAATATTCAGAATGGATTGTAAACCATTGTACACAGGGACTAGAGCATGTGCTGTGCTGTGCTGTGTAGTGTTTAGTCGATTTATAGTTATTAAGTAAAGTCAAAATATAGGAATATCATTCCCTATACAAGAACCCCTAAATACCAAAAATATGAAAGATTTGTGCAAAAGTGACAATTCTAGCGTGGCGTAGAATAGATTTGTTCGTCCTAGTTTCATTTCCCCACCTAAATGCTTTGCAGTTACCCATGGAATTCAATAAGGCACACTCCAATGGTACACTGGCTGAAATATGCTGAAAGAACTGTATAATATGATTTTGTCAACTGGTGTTTATCCTACTCAGTGGACAGTTGGTGTCATTATTCCTATCCATAAAAAGGACCATGTAATAATCCTAGAAACTTCAGACCAATCACTTTACTCGAAGTCTCGGGTAAAATCTTTTATAAAATTCTGTGCACTAGACTTTCTAAATGGGCTGAAAATCAAAATTGTATTATTCCTGAACAGTCAGGGTTTAGAAAAGTTTTTCAAACGGTAGAAAATGTTTTTGTAATTGATACTTTCATACAGAAATACTTATCATTATATATATAAAGGTAGACTTTATTGTGCTTTCATAGATTTGAAAGCAGCCTTCGACTCTGTTCATAGACCAACTTTATTTTATAAATTGTCGATTGGTAATGTAAAGGTTGAAAATGTTTAGACTTTTGAATAATATGTATCAAAATGTGAAGTCGTGTGTTTTGGTTAACAATAGATGTACTCCCTTCTTTGATTGTCCTTTTGGTGTACGACAAGGTTGCCAGTTGTCACCTTTCCTATTTCATTTTTTGTAAATGACATAGTACAGTTTTTGAGTGTGGATAAGCAATACTGTGTTAATTTAGACTTGCTGGATCTCTTCATACTCTTATTTGCAGATGACATTATCCTATTTGATAGCACTGTTCTCGGGTTACAAAAACGTTTAGATAAGTTGGTGGATTATTGCAATAAGTGGCAACTAAGAGTTAATTCTACCAAGAGTAAAATCATTATTTTTCGTAAGGCAGGTAGGCTTAAAAGCTATGAAAAGTTTTTTCTTAATGGCAGCCCTCTTGAGATAGTCCCAAGTTATAAATATCTTGGAGTACATTTTTCTAGCTCGGGTTCCTGGTATAAAACTCAAAAGATATTATCCCAACAAGCTTGGAAGGTAATATTATTGTTACAATCACATATGTACAATTTTCACAAACTTCCCCTGAAAATGTTACTTCGTATTTTTGATGTTAAAGTACTGCCCATATTATTATATGGCTCTGAGATAAGTGGATTTCATCCCTCTAAAGATATTTTAAATGTTCATGATAAATTCTGCAAGCTTATTTTGAAACTGAGAAGAACTGTTCCTAATATTGTAGCAAGAGCTGAACTTGGGAGATACTCGTTAAAAGTAAACCAACATCTGAAAATTATTAGGTACTGGCTGCGCGCGTTTATTAGCTCAGAACGAAAACAGTATATTATATCACACGTATGTGTACCAGTATGACCGGGCAGAAAAGGGTCTAGATTGCTGGGCACTGAAAGTTAAAAATCTGATATTTTCCTTTGGATATCGTGAAATTTAGAATAGACAATCAGTTTCTTGTATTCATTCATTTATATCCGCTTTTAGAACAAGATGTATTGATATTGATAACCAGTGTCTCTTTGAATCTTTTGACAAATTATCTTCATTATATTTGTATAAAACAATTAAGCTATCAAATGAATTTGCAAATTATTTAAGTGTTGTGAATAATGCTGCATTTAGGATTACTCTCTCACAGTTTCGCACGTCGAGCAGTGATCTTATGGTATCACAGGGTAGAAAGTTAGGTATTCCAAAATGTGAAAGACTTTGTCCATTTTGTATCATTCCAAATGTAGAAACAGAATACCATGTTTGTTTAGTTTGTCCGTTTTATGATGATCTTAGAAGAAACTTTCTGCCAAGTTATTATTATACATCTCCATCATAGCATAAATGTAAAGTTTTATTTACCACCAGTAATGCTTTTACAATCAAAAATCTTGCCAAGTTTACATTCTTTGCTCTTAAAATGAGGAGCAAGCAGTTGTCCATTATATAAACTACTAATTCTACCACCATATGTATATGGTCTCACATACCCTTGTACTGATTAGTATTGATATTACTTCATGCACTTGTGGCGCAACATGCTTGAATATATATATATATATATATATATATATATTGTAAAATGGGCCTGTGGCCTGATTTACTGAAATAAACCACTACTACTGATACACTGACCCACTAGACTTATGCCAGTAAAATAGTATTCAAGGCAAGTAAGCTTGTGGCCAGTAGATTTCTCTGCTTGAGTTGAAAGAATATGAATCTGTTGAATAATATCAATGTAATGCTGTAAAAACTTAATCCGTTATTGTTTTGGCTGTTTTTGCACTGAATGGTCAGCCACCAACCCTGCTTTGTCAGCGCTCTGTATATGTATGCAATGTCACAACGTTAATGGGCACCATGCATTTCCATCACAACCGCTGTATACCTATCATTGTAGAGCCAGGCCAGAAACTCCTTGGACCCCCAGTAGGTGTCTGGGGCTTGCGAGTCTCCGTCAGACCAAACTACGTCGGGCTTGTAGTTGTTCACAAGCTCATACAGCTCAGGAATAGTCTTTTCCTGAAATTGAACATGATGTCTTATTTTCATGGTACACCCTGTACAACCCTCCATCACATATGAACTGAACTAACCTTCCAGCTCACCCTTTCACTCACCTCTTACCAATCTGGCCAATATTCTTACAATTTGGTTTATTCATCACACTAAAAGTCTTCAGATTGTCAACGGACATCTTCTTCAATGTCAGCCAACCTAATCAGTTACTTCTTTGGGAGGCATTTAGAAGTTGGAGTACTTAGTAAGGATAAGATAAATGGATGAACAACTTCTATACTATAATTATCTATATATATATATATATATATATATATATATATAGGAGCGACGTTTCGGTGTACATTGTAGATTCTAACACCGATATCAAGCAAGTGATTATCACTTGGTTGGTAACAGTGTTAGAACCTACACCGAAACATCGCTCCTAATTGTAATAAAGAAATTGTTCATCTATATATCTTATCCTTACTTATCCCAATCTGTTGTTATAAATACTGCAATGTCATGGCGGTCGGGTAGCCTAGTGGTTAAAGCGTTCGCTCGTCACGCCGAAGACCCGGGTTCGATTCCCGACATGGGTACAATGTGTGAAGCCCATTTCAGGTGTCAACCTGAAGCTCCTTAGCAAAAAAATATCTAGTACGTCCGCCCAGGTCCCAGATGGAGTCGATAAAGAAGGTATGAACCTCTCTCAAGAAGAGCTACTGGTTAGTCAGCTAAAACCCAGTGCAAGGTCGGTCAGTGGCTGACAGGAAGGGATGTCATAGGTGCACAACTGGTCAGCACTAAAATGTCTGGAGGTGATCTTTGATCCAACAGAAGTGATGAGAGCATAAGAGGTCATCGGCAATGGAGATGATGTCACTGCAACCGGTTGTGACGTCATAGAAAGAGGTCTCTTCCGGTTATCGAAGTGACATCATTGGAACAGAACGAGATCACTCATAGCAATAGTGACGTCAATACTACCGGAAGTGACATTACAAGACCCAGAAGTGACATCACAGACCGCCAAAGAGACGCGAAATAAACTGACGTCTAAAAGAAACTTTACCAACTGAAAATATAAATTTCAGACAAAGTATAATTTTTTTTTCGATGAAGTCTATCTAAAACACATAACCTAAATACAACAATAGTGTATGCAGAAAATGTTAATCGTCTGTTACATGTTTGCGAGATAACACGCGAAAAAGTGAAAAACACGTGCACCACGGACAACTGCAAATGCACGTGCGGGAAAGGGTATAAAACGATTGCAACGGCAAGTCAGACATCCACAGTGATACAAAAACACAAAAGAAATGCCACGACTCGCAGTCGAACAACGTGAACGAGCCTTTGGTATGGTACAGATGGGAGCCACCCACGCCCATATTGAACGAACCTTCGGTTGCTCCTGTGTTGCCGTTACCAACTTGATGCAACGTTACAGACAGATGGGCGGACCGCTGACAGGCCAAGAACAGGCAGACCCAGGGTGACCACGCCCCATGGTGACCGGTACTTGCGTATCTTGCACCTCCGAAATCGCTTCCTGACAGTGACGTCATCGGCGACAAATGCCTTAGGTCACAGGGTTAGTCGACAGACAGTGGCCAGGAGACTCAGGGCTCATGGAATCAGGGCTTTTAGACCATACAGAGGACAGCTATTGACAGCGCAACATCGTCGTTTGCGATTGAGATGGGCCCGGACTGTACGACGTTGGCAACGACGTGACTGGCAGAGGGAAAGTCGATTCTGTATGTTTAGGGCTGATGGAAGACAACGTGTTTACCGCCGAAGGGGTGAACGAACGGCGGCGTGTTGCGTGCAGGAGGTCGTACCATATGGTGGAGGGAGTGTCATGGTGTGGGGAGGGATCTGTGGGCAGGAGAGGACACCGCTGGTCATCGTTGACGGAAACTTGACAGCTCAGCGTTACATGGATAACATTCTTCGTCCAGTTGTCCTACCATTTCTCCAACAGCAGCCACGTGGTGGCATTTATCAGCATGACAACGCTAGAGCCCATAAAGCCCGAATTGTCACTAACTTCCTCGCAGCCAACAACGTCAACGTCCTGCCGTGGCCTGCACGCACACCCCACAAGTCCCCCATAGAACACCTCTGGGACTTGATGGACCGTCGTGTTCGACAACGACCAAACTCTCCAGCCAACCGGCAAGAACTGATCTTGGCCCTCCAAGAAGAATGGCGTCAAATCCCATGTGACCTCATCAGAAGACTGACTTTTTCTGTGGGTCGAAGAGTTTTTGCGTGTATTGAGGCATTTGGTGGTCACACACGCTACTAATGACTTGTTATTGAACGTGAGCGATTGTTTATGTACTCTGCCTATTGTCCATGATTCTGAGAGCTCGAGTTTTGTACCACACCCAACTTTGGGGGGGGGGGGGCTCTGACGTCATTCACGGTCGAGGTATGATTGTCATTTTCAGTGTTGATTATGTTGAAATGTTGATCTTCTCAATACACTTTACTTCATGCATGTATGTTTTGTTGTTTTTGAGCAAGAGTGATTTCAAACTCTGGTAAAGTTTCTTTTCGACGTCAGTTTATAATCATATTAGCAGTGCAGGTTTCAGGGTATCGTGCCTTTTTTGACGTTTCTATGTGTTCATATTTCATTATATGTCAGCTGTCCTGGAGTACCATATGCTAGTTCCCACCAAACCCTCTGGTGAATTCTGGCTATGATGTAATGGAGATAAAGTAATCGAAGGAATTTTCAAACAATAAATGGGAATAAAACCCCAGTTACATCAGGAAGTAGTCCCTACCACCTCCGCTTTATGTCTGCATCTTTTTTGGAGTAGTTTAATAGTAAACCCGTTTCTCCCGTGTAAACATGCGTCTCCCGCCCGCGCATGCTATGAGGCATTTCGCACGATATGCAGTATCTTACTAACTCCTCATTTAGATGACTGACAGTGGAGAAGACGTCTGATGAAAATCTAAATGTTTTTAGAGTGATGATTAACCAAATTGCAGGAATATTGGCACTGATGTATTAGGGGTAAGACATTCGAAGGAAGTATCCACATTGAGAACCTTTGTTTGATTTCTGGTGTCCTCTGTCGTGATAGTAATGGAATATTGCCAAAGGTGGCATACATCACCCTCATTCACTCACACCACCTTCGCTCAACCACACTTAAACACACTTACCCAACTGACAATCCTTAAATGACATGTTTAGTTAAGCTGACCTGAGCAAACCTGGTGGTGGTGTAGTTGTTGGCCTTGTCCTGTAGATAGAGAGGGTTGAACCCCTCAAACAGAGAGTGATACAGGCCGAAGTGGAGGTCTGTCTTGCTGCGTATGGCCTCTGCCAGCTCACCTGGCAACAGATGTATTCATCAGTGACTTAGTTTGTATGTTATGTAATGTTACACTAATCAATATTCGAACTATAATCAAATATTGACCAGACAATCCAATGACTGATATTGTGAGCAATCATCCATGCTAATGGATCACCGAGGCTGACTAAATCCGATTATCCGATCCATTATGTCGCCGCCTACTGACCAACCTATGTTGCTGGCAACCTATCCTCACAGGTGAGCAACGTAGTGTCTGGAAAGCAAACAGGAAATTCTGCCATATCTGCCACTGTACCCAACACATCACTGATAACCTACTAAGCTCACTGTGCCCATGTGGGGTCTCGAACACAGGCCTTCCATGTGATGAGAGAGCGCTTTAACTACTGGGCTATGAAGACCTGTTACAGACAAGGTGGGTGCTAAAAAAAGGGCAAAACATCATTTTCATCATATTCACGAAAACTCCGCCTGTTATCGCCTCATTCGTTATTCAGGAAAAATGAATTTCACAACTGCTTATCCACATGTTGAGTCGACTAAATAGCAGATCATTACACTGACCAAGGACTGTATCCAGTGCAATATACAGCATGTACGTTCTTACCCACAATGTCACGTTTTGGTCCAACCATCTGAGAGTTCCAGTTAAAGGAGACATTCGTTGGCCAGTTGCAGAAACCTTCATGATGCTTGCTTACAAATACAATGTACCTACAACAAAACAATCATGGTGTTAAATGAGGGCATGGTCAGGCCGGTCATCTACTGCACTGTATAGGAATAGTAGCAATCATCTCATACTTAGCTCCAGAGTCTGCAAATAGCTCCGCCCATGTATTTGCATCATAGAATTCAGCTGTAAAATCTTTAGCAAAATCTGCATATGTCCAGTCTGGTCTGTAGTTTTTCTTCATGAAGTCTACGTAAGCAGCTTCCTTCCTCCCCTCCCAGCGTTCCCACAACCAGTCTGAACCAAAACTTGGTACCGAGAACACTCCCCAGTGGATGAAGATTCCCAGTTTAGCTTCATCGTACCACGACGGAAGTGGGCGGGAATCTAGGGAAGCCCAGTTGGGTTCAAAGCGAATTTCTGGACTTTCTTCATAGTGTAAAGTATTTGCTTGGATAGTTACAAGGATGGCTAGGAAAAGAGCTCCAGCTAGACGGGAAGCCATTTCAAAAGTGGTGACATGTATTGCTCTTAAGATATGACTGTGATATCATTCCGAGATGTATATGTAGGTGTGATTTGGATGAAGATCACGAGGGTAATACTATCTGGTCATGCTAAATGTGTGCTGTGCAAATGACATTGGTTGGCCTTGTCGTGTAGATACAGAGAGTGGAAATGTACAGACGAAAATGTAGATCTTAATTTTTTTACATGCTTATCGTTCCTGAGTATGTTGGAGTAATCTGAGTCAAGATAAAGCCTATGCGTAATGTGGACATGTGTTACAGCCGGCCGAGATTACTGTGATGCACAATCCCCCCACCCCCCCACCCCCTCCACACACTCACCAAACCCAACCAATCACCCACATACCCTCCCCCCCCCACACACACTCACACTACAGATCCAACCATCACCTCGGCTGATGTGGTGTGGTGGTTAGCTTTGTTCTGTAGGTAGAGATATCTGCTTCTGACAATCAATACAGTAACATGCACGAATACATATTGTGACAACTGCATCATCTTTTTTTTCAGTTTTCGGTTTCAATGATGTTTTTAGTAAAAGTATTTTGTTCTCTAAAGAAAATATTTTGAAATTTATATGGATTTCTTGACCGTTAAAATTGGAAAATCAGCCAATGTCATGTCCTAGTTTAATAAAGCATTTTTTCGATACTTATTATTTATCCTGTTACCTGATTTGAAGAAAGGTTTCAAATTATTCTGAAAGCTACCTCACCATTAAATGGTTTCGATGCAATTCCCGATGCTGACTTTTCCGTGTTTTTTTAGGTGAACCATTGACTTACCTGTGCATGTGTTTGTGACGGTTGCCACCGATGGTACAGGATACGCTCACCTTTTCGCGAATACCTAGTATCATCACTATTTGATAATGATTCATAAACACATCCTCATAAAGTCGGAGTCGTACGGTCGACTCTGCTTTTGGCAGAGACTTTTATTGAATATGAAAGGGTTGCAATGTACAATAAAACTTGTTTTTTTCAATTTCTTTATTTATGCATAACCACTTTTCGTAAAGTCACATTTCAACTTGTTACCTAAACAGCCCGCGTCTCTCTATTCTCTCAACCTTTATTCACTATTTTTATGAAAATCAAACAAGCACAAGCATCTTTGTAATCACATACTTTCTTGTTCTGCTACAAGTTTCATCCTGTAATATTTCCATACCAAATCACTTATAAATTCTAATAAAAAAATTGCAAGAGCAAATGTGTCATTTGTCCAGTCTGGTTTGTGGTTGTTCATGAAGTCCGTGCAATCAGCTTCCTTCTTCCCCTCACAGCGGTACCAGAACCACTCGGAACTAAAACACTCCCCAATGGAAGAAGATTCCCAGTTTAGCTTTACGATGCCATGAAGGAAGGGGGCCGGAGTCCAGGGAAGCCTAGTTGGGTTCATAGCGAACTTCTGGAGTTTCCCCGTTTTGAAAATCAGCTTCTCGGATAGTACCAAGGACGGTTATGAAAATTTAATGAGTACCAGCTAATGAGCTAGAAGGGGAGCCATTTCAACAGCGGTGAAATGTATTGCTGTTACGATGTATAACTGTTATTGTTATCATTTCTGTGTATGTATGTGTAATCTGGGACAAGGTCATGATGCTGATTATTTTGTCTGTGCATATGTAGTGATGCCTTGTTCCGAAGACTATATCTGCCAATGACACACAATAAAGTAAAATGTACGAATAACTATGCTGTTTCAACTATTGTTATTTTGTTCTGTTAAAAGGTTAATAGTTTGACATTTATATGGATCACTAGCCCATTGCAGATGGTCTACAAAATATCAAACCTTGGATAAGAATATTTGAGGTTCAAATCCCATTGCATAACTAAAAAATGTTTTTCCGCCACACATGCATGTCAAAATTGTGTAGAAATATTCGTTACTTTCATCATGTGATTTCCGTCCGGCATATTTAGTCACACGTACCCTTCATCCTTGAGTTAACACCATATATATTCAAGAGCGATAACCCCTGCACTTACTACAGGTCATGTTTTGTAATGTCAGGTTTCTGAAGATGTAATTTATATATTTTCTTGAACCAAAAAAAGCCAACCAGATATAGTAATGTTTATATATACGCAGTCTAGGCAGCATTTTTTGTATTATCAGAACAATTTTCACACAAGAAAAGCTTAATGACATACATATTTATTTGGAGTCTTTTTATTGAATTTTATTAATGGTCTATCATTTATATCATTGTGATGATCATCCCATTGTCAACCAATTATGGCATTGCAAAGGTCCATCTAATTAGTTGTCAACCATTTAGGCCATTGTGATGGTCATCCCATTATCAACCATTTGTGTCATTATGAAGGTCACGCTCATTAATTGTCAACCAGGTATGTCACTATGTAGGCCCATTCATTGCCAAGCATTTGTCTCACTGTGAAGGCCCACCTTACTATATCAATTATGTCATTGTAAAGGTCGATCCATTTAAGTGTCAGCCATTGTGAAGCCCCATGCCATTGTCAACCTTTTGTCATTTTGAAGGCCAATCATTATGTCAGCGCGAAGATCCACCCCCACTGACATGGCATCTTGTTGACAGGGATGGGAGGGATTGTGATACTGATTCCTTTGGGTGAAGCATACTGCCAGGAGAAGCTTCCAGTGTACCCAAGGAGGCTGACTTGTGTTCCATTATTAGGCAAAGCTGACCCCAGGTGGAGTTGACCAGGTTGTGGCCAGTTCAGCAAGATGGCATACACGATCCCAGCTCTCTGCGTGTACCTGAAGAAAGACGCAAAGCAGTATAATGGAGTACTGAATCTGTGGGATATCTCAACCCAAGACCTTCGCAGTGGTGACTTTAAAAAGTCAACAAAACAAGCAGTTTAATCATGAAAATCACATTTAAACATAATTTCTATAATAATATAAACATGAAGGCGAGAAAGGATTCAAGTCAGGGAGATTGTTTAATCATGCCCAAATTATCTGCTCTTGTATCGTCTACATTGTTTTTTATACTAAAATATCCTTAATTTACACAGGTGAGGAAGCTAGTTTACAGCAGCCAAGTACTTGAAAGACAACAAAGAACATTTTTGACATATTTATTGGTCCACCAGTCATTGGTCAAGGTGTGGAATATTTAAAGTACCTGCCAAACTCCTGTGTGACTGTGTCATTCTGGTCCAGCCAAGGTGTGGAGCATGTAAGGTACCTTCCAAATTCATGTGTAACAGTGTCGTTCTTTGCCAACAAAGGTGATGAATGTATAATGTACATGAACCTACCAAACTCCTGGCGTGACTGTGTCATTCTGGTCCAGCCAAGGTGTGGAGCATGTAAGGTACCTTCCAAATTCATGTGTAACAGTGTCGTTCTTTGCCAACAAAGGTGATGAATGTATAATGTACATGTACCTACCAAACTCCTGGCGTGACTGTGTCATTCTGGGCCAGCCAAGGTGTGGAGTATGTAAGGTACCTTCCAAATTCATGTGTAACAGTGTCGTTCTTTGCCAACAAAGGTGATGAATGTATAATGTACATGTACCTACCAAACTCCTGTGTGACTGTGTCATTCTGGTCCAGCCAAGGTGTGGAGCATGTAAGGTACCTTCCAAATTCATGTGTAACAGTGTCGTTCTTTGCCAACAAAGGTGATGAATGTATAATGTACATGTACCTACCAAACTCCTGGCGTGACTGTGTCATTCTGGTCCAGCCAAGGTGTGGAGTATGTAAGGTACCTTCCAAATTCATGTGTAACAGTGTCGTTCTTTGCCAACAAAGGTGATGAATGTATAATGTACATGTACCTACCAAACTCCTGTGTGACTGTGTCATTCTGGTCCAGCCAAGGTGTGGAGCATGTAAGGTACCTTCCAAATTCATGTGTAACAGTGTCGTTCTTTGCCAACAAAGGTGATGAATGTATAATGTACATGTACCTACCAAACTCCTGGCGTGACTGTGTCATTCTGGTCCAGCCAAGGTGTGGAGTATGTAAGGTACCTTCCAAATTCATGTGTAACAGTGTCGTTCTTTGCCAACAAAGGTGATGAATGTATAATGTACATGTACCTACCAAACTCCTGTGTGACTGTGTCATTCTGGTCCAGCCAAGGTGTGGAGCATGTAAGGTACCTTCCAAATTCATGTGTAACAGTGTCGTTCTTTGCCAACAAAGGTGATGAATGTATAATGTACATGTACCTACCAAACTCCTGGCGTGACTGTGTCATTCTGGTCCAGCCAAGGTGTGGAGTATGTAAGGTACCTTCCAAATTCATGTGTAACAGTGTCGTTCTTTGCCAACAAAGGTGATGAATGTATAATGTACATGTACCTACCAAACTCCTGGCGTGACTGTGTCATTCTGGTCCAGCCAAGGTGTGGAGTATGTAAGGTACCTTCCAAATTCATGTGTAACAGTGTCGTTCTTTGCCAACAAAGGTGATGAATGTATAATGTACATGTACCTACCAAACTCCTGGCGTGACTGTGTCATTCTGGTCCAGCCAAGGTGTGGAGTATGTAAGGTACCTTCCAAATTCATGTGTAACAGTGTCGTTCTTTGCCAACAAAGGTGATGAATGTATAATGTACATGTACCTACCAAACTCCTGGCGTGACTGTGTCATTCTGGGCCAGCCACGGTTTGGAGGCGTAGATGGCCTCCCAATTCACCTTCAGCCATTTTCCCATCTGGCGCAGTCTCTCCTCAAAGATTGGACTAATCATGCCATATTTGGTTGGCCCCACATTTATCAGCAGGTTGCCTCCACAGCTGTAAAAGGAAAACAAATCAGTGTGAGCGTTATTTGATAGCTTCTATAATAAAGATGCAAATTGACACGTGGCCTATTCGTCTAAGCTGCCGCAATTCACTGTCTTGACCTGCGTCCCGTAAGTGTGCCAGACAGGTTTGCTGAAACACGATCAAGATCGGAAACGTCCGAGACTCCGACTCCGACCGTGACAACCCCGGCCGTACCTATGTATCTTCTAGAATAGCTGTTTTCAACTAAGACAGAAGACAGATGCAAGGTAAATTTTTGTTCACAACACGGCCGTACAGCTGTCCCAGGAAGTTCACAGCTTGTCCCCTGTCAACCAGCAAGTTAGAAGCCAGTCAGTTTTACCTGCTCAAGAACCACGACCACCACCTCACCACACGGGAGGCAGGACCGTATTAAGTGAAGCCAACCGTCCAACCACCTACTTCCCGCACGGATCAGACGAGCACCAAGGCGTCTAATGACGGTAGATCTCCACGGTCACCGTGCGATAACCACACGAACCCGGCAAGAGCCAAGTCGGCGTACGTTACCAGATCGTCACGGTCACAGCATGGATTCCATACATATTCTTCTAGCCACAATTCCACGGATTCACGGGTGTCTCAAAAACACCCAGTCACTGTTACTAGTTGGGACAATCAGGACAAAGCCGACCGTCCGGGAGTCTCATACTCCATGGACCCTAACGTGGACTCCCATGATTGATATGGCTACCATGCGTCATGATTTGTCACCCCAAGCGTCCTCAACATCGTATGAAAAGGGGCATACAAGCTTTACTTCCACCAATATCCTCTACTCGTATCCTTGCCAAAAGGCCAGAGATTCCATCTGGAAGAAGTCAAGCTACTTGCAGCAGATCTAGCCACAGAAGACCTTTCAGTAACTTTAAGACACAGAAGTCAGGAAAGGATCCCACTCCCCCATATTGCTTGTGCCAAAGAAGAATTTCCCTTCCCCAAGAAGTCTTTTCTCGTACCACCACCCTAATTCCAAATGGATTTAATATGGAAGTTGCTTTCAAGCCTCTGAACGGAGCTTTGCTCATTAAGTTCCAGTCTGCTAGACGCATATCTCCATGTACCCATACATTTATCATCCCCAAAATATCTATGTTTAGCCAACAATGAAAGGCTACCTTGACAGCTTCCTCATCCAATTAATGGCCTATCTAGGTTTCCTGATACATCCAAAGACGTCAGAGACCTTCCCAACATAAGACATAGTACACATTGAGGCCAGATTCCAGCTACAACTCAGACGTCTCTCCACCTCGAGGATCGATATAACAAAGCTTTGATTATGATAGACACAGTGTCATCTCGCCTCATATGATCCCTCCATTGGTCTCCATTTGGGAATCTAACATCCTTTCAAAAAAAGACATAGAGAGGGAGATTGACATTACGATCTCTCCAGGATTGGATTAACACTCAGAGATCACACCCCCTGGACCCCTTCATACGGAATAACCAGGAGAATTGAATCAGAATCAGAATCTCTATTGGTGGAACCACAGAGGTCATGTTATAAATGGCATTCCCCTTGTAAATCCAATACCTTGGCATAACATGTTCACGCACACATCCAACTCGGGATGTGGACAATTTCAATGTCTTTGGAACGCTTCCAAAAGAACCTTCACATAAACCGACCGTGTCATACCAAAAGACGTTAAAAGATGGTAGTTGTTGTTTCCCTGCCTGGCGCGGAGCATGGATGGGGCACAATCAAGACTGGTCCGCAGGATACGGTAAACTGTATCAGAGTGGGGTAGTCATGTTAAAGTGGGGCATTGTATCGCCGTGGGCTGGCACTATTAAATCACCATTAGTCCAAAGTTTAAGCACACACACACTTACACACACGCACACACTTACGCACTTACGCACGCACTGACGCACGCACGCACTTACGCACGCACTTACGCACGCACGCACTTACGTACGCACGCACGTACGCACGCACTTACGCACGCACTTACGCACTTACGCACGCACTAACGCACTTAAGCACGCACTTACGCACTTACGCACGCACGCACACACACACACACACACGTCGCTATATAAATGCAATGATCTTGAACGCGACGTTAAACCCCATTTCACCAGCAGCACTTTACAGTATCTGCTGACTGATATTACCGCCTCACAGTTTGGGGTTTGGGGTCCAGTTTGTACCATTGTACCATTGACAATGTGCTCATAATGTCAACAACTTGCTACGTGTTGCACATTTCATATATATTTCTATCACTACAGTTTCAGTGTACTCACCTGACAGTCTGAACAAGGATTGCTATTATCTCTTCCATCGTCAGATAATCATTAAGGACAGCCTCTCGGCGGAATCCCCAGGATTTCTTGTCAATTGTCATCGAATTCTCCCACTTTCTTGGCTGAAGTACTCCTTGGACATGTAAGAAGGATTTGCTGCATGCGTGTCGTTATTTCACATCTTAATTCGAAATAGTGATATTATTCTGACTTTAATGTGATTTGATCAAACATTTCGCTGGAAGGTAGCCCAGTGGTTAAAGTGTTCATTCATCACACTAAAGACCCGTGTTCGATCTCCTTCATAGATACAATGTGCAAAGCCCATTTCTGATGGCATCCACGAATATATGTGCGGGATCATTGCTAAAAGCAGTGTAAAACCATACTTACTGAATATTTTAGGTTAGTACCTGGATTGTACCTGTCATGGCATGTCAAGTATCCCCCATGTTGACAAGGGTCCCCCTTTCCCCATCTGTCATTGGTGACAACCGTATCCTTCACTGGGCTGCAAAGAGAAAATATTCAGGAGACTAGATTAGACTATGACATTCACAATTGCATGTTGTTTTGATGGGTAGTGTTGTCTTGAATATCAGTCATTTGTCACAAAGTATTGGTGTATGAATATCACTCCCTATACAATAACCCCAAACTGCAAAGACTATGAAAGATATGAGCAAAGATGGGAAACCTAGAGTGAGTCTGAAGAGATTGAATTGATTTCTGGAAGCAATTCTTCATAATTTCAGATTGTCTAACAACTCGAACTTATTATTCTAGACAGAATTTTTATAGGTGGTGGTAAGGGTAAAAGTAGCTACATTAACTGGTCTCACCACTAATAGAATGACAGAACATGCATCTGTTTAAAATACTGAGAGGCACAAATAACGCATTCTCAAATTTAAGTGTCAATAATTTTTTACTGAAATGAAATATACAAATGACAATCAATACAAATGACTAATAAAAGATTACACTGATGAATTTCATGAACAGTTACTGTGTGACAAAGAATAATTGTCTATGAAAATGAGTGGTGTCAAAAACGAGTGGGTCCTCCTTGTGCAGCAATGCACGTTTGAAGCCGGCGAGGCATTGAGAGACACAGTCGACGAATTGCAGCCTGAGGAATACGTCTCCAATGATGCAGAAGAGCTTGAGTCAGTTGTGGAACCGTCTGTGGAGGATTTTGGTGACGTCGGACACGGCGGCCAAGATCATCCCACAAATGTTCTATAGGGTTCAAATCAGGGGACCTTGAAGGCCAGTCCAACACATAAACGCTGTTCTGTTGCAAGAAGGCATTTGTTATCCTGGCAGTGTGAGGCCATGCATTGTCATGTTGAAAGACATGGCGACGTAAACCACGTTGAGTCAGTAATGGCAGCAGAACAGGCTGTAGAACGGGATGTAACGTCTGGCATTAAGGTTCTCCTGAATAACAACAAGATCCGAGCGGAAATTTGCATTGATTGCTCCCCAAACCATAACACCTCCACCTCCAAACCGATCACGTTCAATAACACATGGTTGTGTAAATCGTTCATGTTGGCGTCGGTGTACTCGTAAACGTCCATCAGGGTAGCTGACTGTGAAACGTGATTCATTCGAAAAAACAACTTGTCTCCAATCTCTACCACCGAGATTACCTCCACCAGCTGCCCATCGCTAGCCTGTGTGCATGAGTCAAGATTTGTCCACGGTAGGGTCGTCGACACCTCAAATTCCTGGCAGCAAGACGACGACGCACTGTACGGTTACTGATGAGTCTTCCACGGAGACCAATGGTTGCATTTGCCGTTGACCTGGCAGACGTGAAGCGATTTCTGAGGTGGATGTTAACGATTTGACGATCTTGTCTCTGTGACGTCACAGGCGGGGCACCTGGTCAAGGACGGTCCCTTACGCTGCATGTGGTTCTCAACCGCTCATGTAATCTCGATATTGTCGTTTGATGGCAATGGAAATGAGCAGCAACTTGTTCTTGGGTACGACCAGCATTTAACATCCCCATTGCTTCATTACGCTGATCTTGCGTTAACCGTGGCATAATGTAGGCAAGTGATGGCAAAATGTCATTGTGTGCATTTATAGGGCCTACCTTTTAGGTTTGCACGTGCATCATGCCTTTCACAAAATGTGCATCGATAGCAGTATTCCCAGTGGTGTGTTGCGTTTTGGTGATTGACTTCGTTTCCAGAAACAGTTTTTGTTTGCAACCCATATGACATGTTTAAAGTAATAACCAACAATGGACAGTGTCAACAAGGTAAAATGTAAACGGACCTCATATGTTCTTAAAAAAGTATATCTTAAAATTGAGTATGCGTTTCTAATGCCTCTCAGTATCAATGTAATGATGTGAATATTTTTGTTGGCCATTTGTGGTCTGAATGGTTAGCTACCAACCTCTCCTATATTCACACAATTTCAATGTAAATGAGTACAATGAATTAGAGCATAATAGCTGAGTACCTCTCATTGTAGAGCCAGGCCAGAAACTCCTTGGAACCCCAGTATGTGTCTGAGGCCTCCCCGTCTGCGTCAGACCAAACAATATCGGGCTTGTAGTTGTTCACAAGCTCATAGAGTTCAGGAGTAATCTGTACCTGAAATTGATTTGGCTTTCGTTGTACATGATGTGATATGTTCATAATACACAGGACCGGTTCCAGATAGGTTTCATGACAGAAATAATCAACTCAACTTCTGAACCAGGTCAAGTGACTAAACGAATTGCAGACACTGTTCTATTTCGTCGGTCCAGAAGAACATGATGATGCTCGATCAGTCAGTGTATATAACAACTCTATCAGTAACAGCTTTTGCAGCAGGATGTCTAGTATGTACTACAGACTTTTGGGGAGGCAAGTTTTACCTGCCGTGAAGGAGTGAGTTAGGTTTTACGCCACTGGCTATGACATGGAGGACAACATCCAAAATGGACTTCTCACACTGTACCCAACCCATCACTGATGAACTGAATTAACCTACCAACTCACCACTTCATTTTCACCAACCTACTCACCAGCCCAAATCCCCTGCCTCATAACCAACTGACCAACTCATTCACTCACCCTCCCTCGTTAACCCTTACACCTTACATCCCACCTTCACGTTCACTAACTCCCTTAATATCAAATCACAACATGTTGGTTGTTGGTTGGTTGGTTTGTTGTGTAACGCCGCACTCAGCAATATTCCAGCTATATGACGGCGGTCTGTAAATCATCGAGTCTGGACCAGACAATCCAGTGATTGACATCATGAGCATCAATCAACGCAATTGGGATCGATGACATGCATCAACCAAGTCAGCGAGCCTGACCACCCGATCCCGTTAGTCGCATTTTACGACAAGCATAGTCGCCTTTTATGGCAAGCATGGGTTGCTGAAGATCTATTTTTCCCCGGATCTTCACGGGCAAAATCACAACATGTAGACAGTGGGGTAACCCAGTGGTTAACGCGTTCGTTCTGAAGACCAAGGTTTGGGCAGAATGTGTAACCCATTTCTGGTATGCTGCCATGATGGAATGGAATGAGCATCGATCAACGCAATTGGGATCGATGACATGCATCAACCAAGTCAGCAAGCCTGACCACCCGATCCCGTTAGTCGCCTTTTACGACCTGGCATCAAACCATACTCCCTCACTCACGCCATTAATCTTACCTACGCTAAAGCACACTTTCCCCACTGACAATCCATCAATGACATATTTAGTTAAGCTGACCTCAACAAACTTGGTGGTGGTGAAGTTGTTGGCCTTGTCCTGTAGATAAAGAGGGTGGAACCATCCTACCAGGCAATGGTACAGGCCAAGGTGGAGATCCGTTTTTGATTTCAGTGCTTGAGCCATCTCACCTTATGATAACACAAGGCCTCATTATTATTAGTTGGCTTACAGATTATCCATATTCATACTTGCCGAAATATACATTTAATTTTCAAATACTTTTTCAGATAGATTCTTTTCTGTTGAAACTAAAATGACCAAAACATGCTCCTTGGAGTACACCGTTTCCTTATTATATTGATTTACTTTGATTTGTTAGAATTCTACAGGCAAGAACATTTTACTTTTATTCTACATTTGATAACAAGAAACTAGAATTTATTAATTAAGTGTAATCTGAAATAATGTGCATAGTTACCAACAAGATCTCTCTTCGGGCCGACCATCATTGAGTTCCAGTTAAAACTGACATTCGTCGCCCAGTTACAAAACCCATCACAATATTTTGATATATACACAATGTATCTGAAAAACAACATAAACTGATGTGACATATTGGATTCATATTTGAATTGCGAATAGAGTTCAAGGTTCCAGGTATGCGAAATGTTCAATATACGGCCTTTGTTTGAATGGCTTAATGATGTACTTGTACTGGAAGTGTTTGATCACATATAGTCTAAAATTATTTGTCATGGAAATATGTCCCTTTGTGTGTGTCAAATTATTCACCCTGATCCTATGACCCTATGTTTTGTTAGCATTATATCCGTGCCAGTCTGTTTCATGCACTCACTCACTCACTCACTCACTTGCAAAGTCAGCATAGGTGAAGTCAGGGCTATAGTTGTCCTGCATGTACTGCACATACATTGGATTCTTGTCTCCTTGCCAGCGTTCCCAAAACCACTCGTTTCCAAAGCTTGGCACTGAAACATTCCCAATGACACAAAGATTCCCACTTTAGCTTCATCATACCATGTCGGTAATGGCCTGGAATCTAGGGACTCCCATGTGGGGTCGTAGCGAGTCTCAATCTTCTTGGTTCTTGCTGAACATCCTTCTGCTTGTAAAGCTAGGAATACTATAACAATTATCTTAGCGTCCATTGTCGCAGGGACAGGTGTGTTGTGATCCTGCATCAATGTTTGATGATAACTTCAGGCGATTCTATATGTTCAAGGTTAAAGATAGGCTAGATGATAACGGTTGTACTTGTAATGTTTCTATTGTGTCTGTCTTTCAACAACACCATCAGATGAGTAGACGTGTATTGACAGCGATTTGTTCAAGAGGTTAGAATATGGCCGTTATTTATGGGCATTATTCAGTTGTAATCTAGTCTGGTGTGCAAAGTTGTTCTTCAAGAAGTCTTGTTAATCAGCTTCCTATTTCCCCACCCAGCGCTCCTAGAACCACTCCGAACCCAAACTTGGTACCGATAACACAGCTCAGTGGATTGAGATTCCCAATGTAGATAAATCGCTCCACGACAAAATGTGTTCGACAATTTAGGGAAGCCCATTTGGGTTCAAAGTGAATCAGGGGCTGTCGGGTAGCCCAGTGGTTAAAGCGTTCGCTCGTAACGCCGAAGACCCGGGTTCGATTCCCGACATTGGTACAATGTGTGGAGCCCATTTCTGGTGTCCCCAGCTGTGATATTGCTGGAATATCGCTAAAAGCGGCGTAAAACCATACTCACTCACTCACTCACCCAAAGTGAATAATGTCTTCAAAACTTTACCTCCAGTACATCATAGCCAGAATACTTGAGGGTTTGGTGGGTCCTAGCTTTTAGTTATCAATGATAACAGTTAAGGACATGTTAAGGACATCCACAATGTCTTGACAACTGCAAATACCGTTCTATTGGCATTCCTATGACGTCACTCCCAGTCCATGACATCTCTTCTGGGTCTTGTGACGTCACATCTGGTTGTCTTGACGCCACTACCATTGCTTGGAATGACCTCATTCGGTTCTGAAGACCTCACTTTCGGTAACCTGACGTCACTTCCCTCAATGACATCACATCACATCATCCAGTGAATAATTCTGAGAATACTACCTATATTAAAACAGGAGGTAGCCCCTCCCACCTCCCCAATATATCTAGTGGAAGTAGTTATTGAAAAGAAGTGACGTTTTTCCCTACTCCGCATGCGCTGAGACATTGACACGATATGCGGTATTAATAACAACTGATTAGAAGGGTTACAGTAAAGATAACGTCTGTTGAAAATCTAAAGATGTTAATCAAAGTACAAGAATATTGGCTGTGTTGTTATAGAGGTAGTGTCCATACACTATGTTAACTGTTGTTTGATTTCTGGACTTTTGTAAAGCAACCACACGGATAGTCACAAAGAAAATAGCACCAGCTCGAAAATACAGTGAAACAAATTTATTGCTGTTAAGATAGGACTTTGATTGTTATCATTTCTAGATATGTTGGTGCACTCTTTGACAGGGTCATGGTGGTGATTAATTTGTCTGTACGTGATGTGTTAAAACCTACAGGCTTAACTGCAAACACATGCTCTTTTTAAAGTAACATGCCCAAAATAACAATGCCGACAACTGGAACATACATTCCAAAAGTGGATTGTCAATTTGGTGTAAGCATTAATTGCCGCATCTTAAAACTCTATAAATAATCTACTCTGCTACAGGTTTCGAAGAAGACTGCCTTTCTGCTTGTCATGGCATCTGCAGCTTGAGTGTCAGAGCTACATACAATCACCTTCTCCTCCCTCACACAAGTATCAGAATGGAGCAGAATCACTCTGCAAGCAGTACCAGGGTTGACTGCCAGGAATGAGTCTATGGAGAGGTCCGCTAGGATACTGGCAGTCCTCCATCCCTGTCCTAGGTAGGACTGCGAACCACACGGACACGCTATTGTGTCCAGTGCGAGCAAGGGAATATTCTCTCACCCCTACGCGGTTACATAGTCGACACTAGAAACGACTCTACAGTTGCAGGCTGCTTAAACACCATCATCTCCGAAAGATGCGATTATGCAGAACTACATTGTGTCTGCGTTAGATATTTCCTGACACAGAGGGCTTATACATGTACTCATTTGGGACTTAAGTGACAGCAACCTAATAAGGTAGGTTGATCTCTTGCTCCATGGTGCGTCAGACCATAGGTTAACTGTTTTTTGCACTGGACTATCTGGAAGGTCAACATCGAGGTCATAAGCACAGGATGTGACGTAAATGCAACCGGGAGTGACATGATCGAAACGGGAAGGGATCATCCATGGAAACGGAAGTGACATCATAGGAATGCCAACATAACGGTATGCCAACATACCGGTATTTACTATGCAAGTATCAAGGTATTGTGCATTTTCTTAACTTTTCAATGTGTTCATGAATCATTAACCGTCAGCTATCCTGAATACTAAAATGCTGGATCCAACCATACCGTCTGGTGAATTCTGGCTATGATGTGATAGAGGTAAGGAAGCAATTATCAAACAATAGTTATCATTGTGTATAATTCTAAGAATACCACCTATATTACAGCAGGAAGTAGTCCCTCGCTGCAAGGTCTGCAAAATATCTGAATGTGATGTATAACACACCTTGCTGATAAGGTGACGTGTTTACTAGGGTGATGAGTCATCCCACACCTTACTAACAGGGTTAACACATTTGATCATGCCTACAAGGTGTCCGAGAATGACATGTGTAGGTAGGCATAGAGTGAGCCCACAAGTTACTGATGGGGTTAACCTACATGTATTTGGTCATGTCTACAAGATAACAGACTTTGGATGAGAAGAGTTCTTTTTGAAATCACATCACATCATTATGTTATTTCCGCCACACATGTATGTAAACACTGCTTAGTATTATTTTTAGCTTCGTCATCTAATATGTGTCATGCATGTTTAGCATTTTCTGTTACACCATGTACATTCAAGGGCGATAACCCATGCACTTGCACCAGAACATGTTTTGTCCGGAATCTGAAGATTTAACAAATATATCTTGAACAAACAAACAAAGCAAGTATGGTGATCATAATGTTTATATATATATATGTAGTCAAGGAAACATTCATTTCATCATCAGAACAAATCTTTTATTTGTAAATGTAAGTTAAATACCGAATATATATGTTTATTTGGACTCATCCCATTGTCACCCATTTTATTGTGAAGGTCAGTCCCATTAATTGTGGCCCTTTCATGTGATTGTGAAGGTCCATTGTCAGCCAATTATGACTTTGTGGAGTCTAATTCTATTGTCAACGAATTATATCAGAATGAAGATACATCAAATTGCCAACTATTCATGTCATCATAAAGTTCCTTCCCATTGTCAACTATTCATGTCATTGCTCTTACAGGGACCCGTCTTATTATCAACCATTTATGTCAGTGCGAAGACCCATCCCCACTGACATGGCATCTCGTTGGCAGGGATGGTAGGGATTGTGATATTGATTCCTTTGGGTGAAGCATGCTGCCAGGAGAAGCTTCCAGTGTACCCAAGGAGGCTGACTTGTGTTCCATTAGTTGGCAAAGCTGACCCCAGGTGGAGTTGACCTGGTTGTGGCCAGTTCAGCACAATGGCGTACACGATCCCAGCTCTCTGCGTGTACCTGAAGAAAGAACACGCAGTGTAGTATGAAGGAGTACTGAATCTGGGATTTATCAACCTAAGACCAAAGTTGTGACTTTGAAAAGTTTACAAAGCAAGAAATGTAATCCTGAAATCCCAGCCAAGCATAATTTCTATAACAATGAAGCTGATTAAGGATTCCGGTCAGGCAGAGTTAAAGAATGACAACATTTGCAAATAAGAACTATTTGATCTTGAATGTACCTACCACACTCCTGGTGTGACTGTGTCATTCTGGGCAAGCCAAGGTCTAGTTGCGTAGATGGCGTCCCCATTAACCTTCAGCCATTCTCCCAAATTACGGAGTCTCTCCTCAAAGATTGGACCAATCATGCCATATTTGGTTGGCCCCACATTGATCAGCATGTTCCCTCCACAGCTGTAAATAAAAATAACAAAATCAGACAGTATTTGATATGTTCTGTAATTATGATATGCAAAAACGTGGTAACTCGGTCAACCCTCCACAATTCACTGAGACCTAAGACCGTTGGTTCAAGTACCAGCCCATATTATGTCTCAAGGTTTCTTAGTTCCAATCCATTCTTGTAGTGGTAAACGTCTTAGACCCACATCACCCTGGACTTTTGTCACGCAACTCACTCACTCATGTATGTTTACGTTACTATTGGCGAAATGCAACTAAGGTGGTAATTCTCATCTAAACTGAAGATATATGTACACTTGCTGATGTGGATAAGTTGATGTGGATATGTTGATGTGAGATGCTGATGATCATGGCTATATACAACACCTGACAGGTGTTTGCTTCATCTCTACATCGTTTGTGCAATATTGTCCCGTTCAGGTTGTGTCGACAAAATAATTCTTTGTCTTTTTTTTCCCAGATCATTAAGATTCTAGTTTTGAGTGGAAATATTGTGAACCTTACAGTTTCTTCAATTATATCTTACAGCCTCAGTATACTCATCTTACATTCTCAAAAGACAAACCTTACAGTCTCCACAGACATACCTTACATTCTCAGCGGGAGTACGGGTGGCCCAGTTGCCTAAGGCGTCGCAATTCGCTGTGCAGAGTTGCGTCCCTTTGGTACGCCAGAAACCTGGGTTTCTTGTCGTTGGTTCGAATCCCGGTTCGCTCCGATCATATTTCTAGGTTTGTCAGCACCATACACATGCTCGAGGGTTTCACCAAAGTGATACACGTCTGAAACTTACATCACTTCGTGCTTTCCTCCCACATGAAGCCGACATGTCATGTTATAACTGGAATATTGTTCAAAGTGACGTTCAATTCATTCACTCACTCATTAACTCACATTCTCAGCAGACACACTTTACATTGTCAATGGGTACGCCTTACATTCTCAACAGACACCTTACATTCTCAGCAGGCACACCTTACAGTCACAGCACACACATCCTACGGACTTTTTAAAGGATGGAATACCAAACATGTAATAACTGCCTTAAAAGAATATTGCAAAGCTGTCTGTAGCACCCACCTCCCACTTTATTAAGTATATACTGTTTCCTGTGTTTTTTGTTTCAGAAAGCAATGAGCAAGTCATGTTTGGGCTACTCTGCAGTTTCTACTGAAAGTCATAGTCACAATGCATTTGGTGGTGCAAGTATCTATCACACTTTTTCCAGTGTCACACTGTTCCATTAACTTTACTCTAGTGGGGACCTGGGTTAAGGGTCATGAACAGTGGTGACTTGATTTAAGGGTTACCACACTGTTTTTCTGTTGTAGGAAACGACCAAATTGATAGTGTTGAAAACGTCTCCGAATATCAACCATTTGTTCCGTGTGGCCAAAGACATATACACTTCTATCACCTGACAGTTTTAGTGTTCATACCTGACAGTTTCAGCTAGCACTGTTATAATATCGTCCATGGTCAGAAAATCATCAAGAGCAGCCTCTCGACGGAAGCCCCAGGATCTCTTGTCAATTGTCATCGCATTCTCCCACTTTCTGGGCTGAAGTACTCCTTTAGCATGTAAGAACAATCAGCTGTAGTTTCGGTGAACAGATAATATTTTGAATCTGTGACGATTTGATACATTATTTTTACTTCAGAGTCGAATCTATACATCAACCACAATTCTATAATCACAATCTACATACAATAATACATTTGAAACTGCATTGTATGAAAAACGTCATGGCAAAGAATTATTAATCTAGTTTATCCGACGAAATAGATTTCATTGGGCGTAAAAGGCAAAATGGAGGTGATACTGATAGGAAAGGATCACTGAAAATCAGTGATAACAACACGTTTTCGTGAAAAAGATACATACGTGGTGCCCTACCAGTAGCACCCACCTTGTCTGTATCAGTTCTT